AATGTCAATTGCATTGAAAATGAATTTTTCTGTATGAAATTGTGTATTTTAATAATGAAATGGAGATCTTTTTTAAAGGTTAACACCTCATTTAACTTTATGTCTTATAGGGTTTATACTGAGTACAATATTGTATAACTGTAATAATTGAGCTGTAAACCTAAAAATGCACAGCCAATTTTGAAAGAGATGCATCCTAGCTCAGAAAATTGTTATCAAATATGTCAATGCTGATGTAATGAAATGCTTCTTCTAAGTATGTGATTATTAAATAAATTTTAAAAATTATGTGTAAATAAAAGTAATAAAAGACTGATTACATTCTGAAAAAACAAAAAAGAATTTTTTGTTATAGCTGGTTATGGTGGAGCACTCCTTTAATCCCAGCACTTGGGAAGCAGAGGCAGGTGGTTTTTTTGTGAGTTTGAGGCCAGCCTGGTCTACACAAAGAGTTTTAGGACAGCGGGAGCTACAGGAAACAATCTGTAAACCATCTTTTCAAAAACCAGAGGGGGAAAAAAGAATGTTTTCTTAGTTTATAATAGCTGGATGATAAAGCAAAATACATTGTATACTAAATTGAAGAAAGCTGGGGAGATTGAAGTGGGGTACAGATTTATACCCGCACCATAAAGAAGCATGACTCATGCTTAGTGGAGAGATCGGGTGGCCATAAGACTACTTATGTGAAGCCACAGGCAGGGAGGGGAGCTTTCCTCTGGGAACTCAGCTCCTGGTATCCCGAGATCACAGGATTCTCAGCTCACTTGATCCTCCCAGCTCAGAGTATTCCTGACTCACTGTATTCCCAGCTCAAGGTGTTCCAGTTCATGGCATCCCCAGCTCCTCAATATCACGACTGATGTGGGGTATTCTCAACTCACCATATTCTGGAGTTATTCACAAACTGCGGATTTCCTGGTGCATGGTATTCCCAACTCACCTTATTCTCAAGTCATGATGTTCCTGGCTCATGATATTCCCATGTCGCAGCATTCTGAGGTCCTGGTATTCTGAGCTGCTGGTATTCACCTGTCACCTAATTCTCTACTCATGATGCTCCCAGGTCAAGGTAATCACGGCTCACAGAATTCCCAACTCACCTTTTTCTCAGTTCACGATGTTCCTAGTTCAAGGTGCTCCCAGCTCCTGGTATTCCCATGACCCACCTCTCTGTATCTCAGCTGATGCTGAGTATTCCCAGCTCACCCTATTCTCAGCTCAGGGTGTTCCCAGCTGCCTATATTACCAACTTGCCTTATTTGAAACTCGTGGTATTCTCAGTTCATGCTATTCCTCACTCTTGGTATTCCTGGATCCCAGTATTCTGAGCTCCTGGTATTATCAGTTCACGGTAGTCCCCGCTCACAGCATTTCCAGCTCACAATATTCCCAGTTCCTGGTATTCAGAACTCTTGTTATTCACAGCTCAAAGTATCCCTGAGCTCTGGTATTCAAAGTTTAAAATATTTATAGTTCATGATATTCCTGGCTCATGGCAGTCCCGGCTCTTGGGATTTCTGGCTCATGGCATTCCCAGCTCTCGGTATTCCTGGCTCATTCCCAGCTCTTATTTCCAGCTCACAATAGTCCCACATCCTGGTTATCCCATGTCCTGCTATTCCCATCTCAAGGTATTCCCAGCTCATAGTATTTTCTCATGGCATTCCCAACTCACCTTATTCTCAGCCCGTAATGTTCCCATCTCATGATATTCCTAATTCCTGGTATTCTTTGATTAAATTATTCCCAGGTGTGCTGAACTCATGGTATTCCTATCACTTCCTATTCTAAGCTCACGCTATTCCCAGCTTCTGGTTATCTCTAGCTTATGTTAAGCATTCCCCTAGCTTATGTTAAGCATTCCCAACTCCCTTTATTCTCAGCTCACCTGTTCCCAGCTCAGAGTATTCCCAACTCACCTTATGTGCAGCTCGTGTTGTTCCTACCTTGTTGAATTCCCAGTTCATGATCTTCCTGTTCTTGGTATGCCCAGATCCCAGTATTCTGAGCTCCTCGTGTTTTCAGCCCCTGGGTGTTCGAGCTCAGAGTATCTCCAGCTCCTGCTATGCCCAGCTAATGGCAATCCCGGCTCATCACAATCCTAGAACATGGCATTTCCAGCTCAGTATTCAGAGCTCCTGGTGTTCCCAGCGCAGAGTATCTCCAGCTCCTGGTGTTCCCAGTTCATGACAATCCTAGAACATGGCATTTCCAGCTCTCAGTATTCAGAGCTCCTGGTATTATCAGGTCAAGCTTCTTATGACTCGTGGTATTCCCAGATCCTAGTATTCCTACATCCTGTTCTTTCCAGCTGTTGATGATCCTATCTCATGACACTCCTAGCTCCCAAGATTTCCAGCTCCCAGTATTCCCAGGTGATGATCCTATCTCATGACACTCCTAGCTCCCAAGATTTCCAGCTCCCAGTATTCCCAGCTCCTGGTAATCCTATCTTTTGGTATTCTAAGCTCATGACATTCCTAGCTCATGCTGTTTCCAGATAATAATGTTCCCTGCACATGGTATTCTCAGTGCATGGAATTCCCAACTCACCTTATTCTCAACTCAGGAAGTTCCCAGCTCACAGTATTTCTGACTCATAATTCTCTCTGATGCTGTCATTTCCAGGTCACAATATTTCCAGCTCACGATATTTCCAGCGCATGATGGTATTTTCAAAGTATTCTCAGCTCCTTAACATTCCCAGATCACGACATTCCCGGCTTGTGGTGTTTCCCAGGTCTGATTCCTGGTTCATGGCATTCCCAGCTCACTGGGTTCTCAGCTCACGGCATTCCCAGCTCACGATGTTCCCAGCTCATGCACCTGACAGCTCACCATGCTCCTGGATCACAGCATTCCCAGCTCTGGTTTTCCCAGCTCACATTAGGGATTCCTAACACCTTTTTCTCAGCTCACGATGTTCCCAGCTCACTGCATTTCCAACTCTCCTTATCTACATCTCAGAGCACTTGGATCCAACAGTATTCCAGCTCATGGGCTTCCCAGCTCCTGGTCTACATATCACCTAATTCTCTGCTCATGACGCACCAGGTCAAGATAATCACATCCATGAATTTCCAACTCACCTTATTCACAGCTCATTGTATTCCTGGCTCTGAGAGTTTCCAGCTTCAGGTGCACCCAGCTCCCGGTACACTTGAGCTCCTGGTACACTGAGCTCCTGGTGTGCCCAGCTCCTGGTAGTCCCTGCTCTTGGTATTCCCAGTTCCTGTTATTTCTAGCTCATAGTATTCCCAGATCATGGTATTCCTAGCTCTTGCATTCCCAGCTCCTAGTCCTAGCTCTGCTCACATAATCCCAGATCCTGATTTTCTGTCTCCTGCTGTGCTAGTTCCAGCTCTTGATATCTACACCCTAGTCCATGGTGTTCCCTTATAACTCTCAACTTGCAATGTTCCCATCTCAAGGTACTCACAGCTCCTGCTATTCCCTGATCATGGAATTCCCAGCTCCAGGTATTCTCAACACTGGTCTTCCCCTGTCCTCCTATTCCCAGCTCAGGGTGTTCCTATCTTTCTGCATCCTGGTATGAA